CTAAGGAAAAGTTCTTCACTGAAGAGAGTATCTGTGGTTTGCTTTGTCATCACCAATTCCTGTTGTTGCCTGGGTCTTTCCAGCACCAAGTACAAGTGGCTGAAGCAGATCATCAGCTTGGATGGATCCATCACCTTGATCATGATAGCCCAGTGGGCTATCAGTTTCAAGGTCAATTGACTGGAGATTCCATCTGGTCCTTCCTGGAGGAGGAAGGAAGCCTGCTTATTTTTATAAATTGGGAAGTCCTTTTTGAAAATGCCAGAATCCCCATTCCAAATGTCCTTGGAGAAGTTGTGGTCAGGTTCAAGGGTGTACAGCTGCTCCCACAAGAGTCTCCACCCCCAAAACTCAAGCTGCTCTGTAGGAGGAGAGTTGTACACAGAGGCTGATATTCTCTAGGAACTCTTAAGAGGCAAAGTACCTGTGAGTACCTGGTGTCAGTCTCACGCAAGTCATAAATGCAGGATGAGGAAAAGATATTGCAGTGATTGAGGACATATTACCCTGTCAAGTTTCCTAAGGGGAGACATGACAAAATGACATTCTAATATGGTAACTGTGCCTATGGAAGATAAATGGAGAAGAGGTACAAAGATGTTTAATTTAACATCCAGGTATCTGGTGATTATTCTCTGCTCTCCTGTCAAATATATAAAAATGCATACATATATAAAAATTTTTCATTTTTTAAGATTATTTTGAGACAGCATCTCTTTTAGACACAGAGGGTCTCACTATGATGCTGAGACTGGCTTCAAATTTGTGATCCTCCTGCCTTAGCCTCTTGAGTACCTGGGGTTACAGACATGTACCACCACACCTGGCTTATCATTCACCTTTTATAAAGGATGTTATAGGTGGAAGTGGTGGCAAAAGTTCAAGGTCAATCTCAGCAATTTAGCAAGATGCTATCTTAACAGTAAAAATTAAAATGACTGGGGATACATCTCAGTGGCAAAGCAAAGCTAGGTTCAAACCCTACTAATAAAAGCAAAGAATATGCTGCCATTTAAAATAACATGGATGAAGGTGAAAGACTTCACATTAAGTGAAATGATCCCGACATAGAAAAAAAAATACATTGCATACTCTATGTGTGGAAATCTGGAAAAAAAAATGTTGAATGTATTGAGAACAGTGGTTACTAGAGGACGATAGTTAATAATACTATATCATATACTAGAAATTACAAAGAGTAGAATTTGAGGTATTCTTATTGCAGAATGAATATTATGTGACATGATGGATATTATTAACACATACCTACTGTAATTATTATGAGATTTGGTATGATATTTTCATATATACATACATATGCACTGATAATATCCAACCAACCTTCTTCCACCCTTGATGGTCCAGAACTCTTCCCAGCCAGAATCAATACTCTACTTTCACATCAATTTTATTTTAGCTGCCACGTATAATAGACAACATGTGATACTTTTCTTTCTGTGTCTCTTTTTTTCTCTTAGCATTACACCATCCAGCTCCATTTATTTTTCTGGAAATTACAGGATCTCATTTTTGTTATGGCTGAATAATAAAACACCATTGTGAATACATAACATATCGCTTACCTATGGAACTAATTTTTTCTCTTTTTATGTATTGCTAAAAATACTATTACACAACTTAAATTTATGCAACAAAATACTTTAGCCATTTTGGGGGTGTACTGGGAATTGAACTCAGGGGTACTCAACCACTGAGCCATATCTCCAGTCCTATTTTGTATTTTATTTAGAAACAGGGTCTCACTGAGTTGCGTAGCACCTCGCTGTTGCTAAGGCTGGCTTTGAACTCACGACCCTTCTGTCTTAGCCTCCTGAGCTGCTAGGATTACAGCCATGCACCACTGTGCCCAGCTTGCATGCATTCTTTCAGATTATATTATTGTGTGGATATCAAAATTGTAATGCACACAAATCCATTCACTGACAAAATTCACTGTTCACAGCATAAATACTTTAACAAAAATAATAATAGCCAAAAAGTGGAAACAGCTAGGCTCGGTGTCACATGCCTGTAATCCCAACAGTTTAGGAGTCTTAGGCCAGCGGTCATGAGTTCAAACTTAGCAAGGCCCAATCTCTAAATAAAAAATTAAAAAAAGGGGCTGGGGGTGTGGTCAGTGGTTAAGCACCCATGAAAATTCCCAGTACCAAAAAAAAAAAAATGAAGAGGAAACAACCTAACATCCAATAAATGGGCAGAAGAAAAGAAGTACTGTACTGATTGATGCTTTAACATAAATGAGCCTTGAAAACATTATGCTAAATGAAAGATGACAGACAACAAAGGCCACATGTTTTATGATTCTACTCACATGGAATGTTCAGAAGTGGCAAGTCCATAGAGACAAAGTAGAGTAATGCTTGCTAGGGACTGAGAAAGGAAGGAAAAAACATTACTGCCAATGGGTACAGGTTTTTTCCTAAGGTGATGACAATATTCTAAGATTGATTGTAATGATATAACTCAATATATTTTTAAAACTTTGAATTATAGAACTTACATGGATGACTCTATGAATATGCACTGTATCACAGTACAGTGACAATATGAAAAATAATGTTATAAGCTTTTTCAAAAAAAGATATTCATAACTATAAATTTTCATTGAAACAATACTTTTGCTGAATTCCATTAGTTTTGGCATATTGTGTTGTAAGGGTCCGGTGAACGTCGGAGGAAGAGACCATCAAGAGACCAACTCATGCAACAGCAGAAGGGGGTTTATTGAGAATCCAGCGCGCTGGGGCTCTGTGCTCACTCAACAAGGGAGAGCAGCCAAGAGCCCTGAGCAAGGGTTGAGCAGTGCTTAAGTATACTTTTTGGGGAGGGCGGGGGCTTTGCATACATCACAGTCTCCTTTAACAAATCACCATACACCGTGGGAGAATCGAACAACAATTCCTAAACATGATTAGTACATTCATTGGTGGGAACAGGTCGGGAGGGAGTGACAGGTCAATCCTAAGGAGGGGATACATTCAAACTGATTGGTTTGGGCCCTGAATGCCTATGTGCTAAACTGCACAGGGTCCAGGTTATTTAACAACTAAATGGTCAGTACCGGGCATTGTCTTAACTGCCTCAGGAATTTCAGGTTCTGTGTGCAGTTCAGAAACTTTACAATACCTAGTCCTTTACATTTTAACTCAGGCTTTGCAGCTTAGAAACTTTACCCTTTCAATTAAGGAGCATGGTAGAAGAAAGCTACTCAGCTTATGGCAGCTGGGAAGCAGAGAAAGGAAGGAGCCATGCATATGCTCCATGGGCATGTTCCCAGAGACCTATTTCTCCCAACCATGCCCCACCTGCCTATAGTTTCCACCACCTCCCAGTAGGTCATTCAGCTATCAATGATGCCAGAGTTCTTATCAGTTCCCAAAAGCCCCACCTCTAGACATTGCTAAAATGGGGAACAAGCCTTCAACACATGAACTTCTGGAAGACATTCACAGATCCAAACTGTAACAGTGTTGTTCAAGTCTTATATTTCCTTCCTGATATTTTGGTAAGTTCTTCTATTATTAAAAGTGGGAAAATGGAGTCACCATCTATTATGTAGAATTTCTATATCTCCCCATTGTCTGTCCATTTATGCAAGTATTTTGGGACTTTGCTGTTAGATGCATATATGTTTATAACTGATATATCTTATTGATAGATTACCATTTTAAACATTATATAATATCTTCTGTTTATAACTGATATTTTATAGATAGAACAAACATTTTAAACCTCCTTTTCTCAAACAATTTTTGTCTTAAAGCCTGCTTTATTTGTAAAGCTACTATAGATCTCAATTGATTATTTACTTGGAATACTAACCTTTTCCACCCATTTACTTTAAATGTATTTGTGTCTTTGGGTCTAAAATGAGTCTCTTGTGGACACAATATATTTGGATGATGTTTTTTTCCAGTTATCTATCCTTCTGATCTTTGCCTTTTAAAATTCATTCACATTTAATATACTTACTGATAGGGAACAACTTCTGACATTTTGCTATTTGAATTTTAATATATCATGTCTTCTCCCCATTTTCTTTATTACTGACTTTTTTGTTTCATTATTTTTTTTATTATACAATGTTGATTCCCTTCTCAATCATATATATAAATTATACATTTTCTTAATAGTAACCCAGGGGATTACAATTATAATGTTAATTATAACAATATAGTGCAGCGTAATACCAATTGTATTTGAAAACTCTACCAAAACATTTGCTCTAATGTAGCTCCACCCCTTCAACATTGTTATATAAATTTCATATTTATATATTATATACCCAACATAGATTTATATTTTTATACAGTAGTTTTAAAAGTCATATATTAAAGACGAGTTACATTCCAAAAATAAACTAATACTTCTTTTGTGTTATCCTATATAGTTACCTTTACCATGTGCTTTGTTTTTTGGCTTGGATTCCAGCCCAATATAGGCTGGAAGTTTCCCTTTTGTATTTCTACTAGGGAAGGTCCAGTTCATAGGAAGAACGTTTAGTCTAAAAAGAATACAAATACCATCTGAGATCAGGGTTGACCAGATAAAGATGGGAGTGAATTTCCACACAAGTGCTCAAGGATGTCATGGCTCAATCACTTGGTTTTTTTGATGACAGGGATTCTCAGTTCGTCTGCTCAGGATGAGGAGGGAAGTGTGCAGACAGCATGACTGACCCAATAAGAGGTTTGAAGTAATAACAAGAAAACAAGAGATGGAGCTGAGACTAGAGCAGTCTTCCTACAATCATCTATTTGACTTTGACACCTGCCTAGGAATTCATTCCGCTGTGCAGGATATTTTCTTTTCCGAGTTCCTATGAACAAAGCGTCTATTGGCTCACTGCAGTTCCTACCTCAGCCACCTTGCCTGTTCTCCCAGTAGTTGGTGCTGTGCTGAGGGAGGTTGGTCCCAGCAAACTTTGCGGCATGAGTCAGAGCTTCTCTCTGTGACGCTTCACGTCGTGCGGCGCAGAGGTTGGCGAGGTGGTGAGAGGAGCGGCTTTGTTCTTGTGAGGAGACTGAGGAGGTTGGGGGAGGAGGAGGCCAGGCCTGGGCCAGGACTGAGCAAAGACTGAAAGGGCACTGAGCGAGGGCTGTGGGGATTGAGTTGTGGCTGCAGACTCCCCGGGCCCCGGGCGGAAGTAGCAGCGGCGAAGCCGTCGCTCTACTTCCTAGGCCGCAGCAGCCATGGCGGTGGAATTTGGCGACCACGCCAGTGGCTTTCGCCACAATGAGGTGGTCCGGTTCATTAATAATGAAGTTCTCATGAACGGTGGTGGCCCGGAGTTCTACATGGCCTTTCGCTCTCGTCCCTGGAACGAGGTGGAGGACCGGCTTCGCTCTGTGGTGGTGGACCCGCAGGTGCCTCGGGCCCTCAAGAGGGCGTGCACTTGGAGCGCCCTGGCCCTGGGCGTGCGAGTGGTGGCCAGGCAGCGGGAGCAGCAGGGGCGTCGGGTCCGTAGGCTGCAGGATCAGGTGGAGGAGCGTGAGGCAACTTGCTGGGCGCTGGCTTCCGAATTGCAGCAGCTTCGTGAGGAGCGCGATGAGGTGGTTACACAGTTGCTCTTCACCCGATCTGCCTTGCAACAGGCAGTGAATGAAAGTGATATGCTGCGTGGGAGGCTGTTCCAGGTTGAAGGGGTGGCACAGGTTGCCCCCCCAGCCCATGATATAGTCCCTAGTCTGAGAGCCGATCAATCAGGGCCTGCAGTTTGGCCCCAGAATGCAGAGCAGCAGCGAGAAGTGGGAGCCGTAGGGAGAAATGACAGGCTGTATTTCGAGGCTCCAACACCAGCCCCGACAGCTGTCCTTTATATGCCAGGACCCCCGACTCCTTGGGCCTCTCCTGTGCAACCCCCTGTGCAAGTCCCGGTGCCACAGTCAGTTCCAATTCCACCACCATTACCAGTGGGATTCCCGTACTTGCCACCTCCACCACCTGCAGGAGTCATGGAAGCAGAAGCAGGAGTAGTCCCACTTCAGATGCCACCTGTGGGGTTCTGTCCACCTGGCTCCTGGGTTGCAGGGAACTTCCAGAATGAGACAATCCCTCTGTGGGACCAGAGATACTATGTCCAGGCTGAAGGTCCTGCGAACCTTCAGGGGTCTGTCCTAGGGGACAACAGAAGCCTCAGCCAGGAAGGTCTAGAGAAACCCCAGGTGATAGCTTCCCTAGTCAACATGGGGACCTGTGGCCAAGAAGTAGGTCCACAGAGGTCCCAGGGAATGCTCCCCCCTGAGGACAGTGTGTGTCATATCCAACAGGAAGAACCTGAGCAGTCTCAAGGGATGACTTCCCTAGTTGACATAGGGAGTCAAACCAAGGAAGAAGGTCCAGAAATACCCCAGGGGATGGTCTCCCTGGGAGACACAGGGACCCATAGTGAAGAAGAAGGTCTACAGAGTGTTCAGGGGATGGTTGACCTGGGTAACCACAGCCAGGAAGAGAGTCCACAGATGCCCCAGGAAACACACCTTCTTGAAGAAAGTGGGCACCATAGCCAAGAAGAAGTTCATCAGAGGCCTGAGGGAATGTATTCCCTGGAGCACAGCAGAAGCCACTGCCAGGAAGAAGGTCCAGAGAGGGCCCAGGGAATGGCACCCCTTGAGTTCAGTGGGAGCAACAGCCAGGAAGAAGAACATTTACAGAGAGCTCTGGGGATAACTTTCTCAGGGTTGAACAGAAGTCATGATCTGGAAGAAGGTGCAGAGAGGCCCCAGACAACCCCTATGTGGGAGAGCTGGAGCCAAGCTGTGAGAGAAAGCCCAAAGAAACAGCAGCCTCAGTGGCAGAAGGCCAAGCAACCACAAGGGAAAAGAACACTGGGTTCCCAGCATCAAGAGAAGTATGCCTCACGCTACAATCAAGAGAATTGGGTCTGCCTATGGTGTAAAGCCATGAATTTTTCATGGCGCACAGCTTGTTACAAATGCAAGAAAGCCTCTGTGCCAGTTGAGGGTGGAGGTGTCAACACAGGACAAACTCACTGATTTCAGGAAGGTAAGTAAGAATGGAAACACTTTAAAGAGAAACCAATTTCCTAAGTCCCCCGGCCACCTTCTGACCAAAAGGTAACTTAACAGAAAATATGATACCAAAATTATTCAGAAAATCAAGTAAAATAACCTATTATCTCATTACTCAGATTAACTACTTTTTACTATTGTGAATACAAATGTAATTATTTATATTATTTCATTCATTTACTTCAACAAAGAGAGGCTATTGAAAAACACTCTTTAAATTGGAAATTTCTCCTAATTGCATTTAAATTTTGCAGGTGGAGGATTCTTGATGGCTGTTATGGAGTGGTTTATACCCTGGAGAATCTGATTATGAAGACTTTCCCCATGCAACCCCTCTTTTCTATTTTCTTCTTAACCCCCTTTTCCTGAAAATGCTATGTATTTGGGAACAGCCATATGGTTATAGAGTTATGAGCTATGTTGAATTTTAAAAAGCACTTTTTCTTGAAAACACTCTTGTCCCTTTGGAAACTACTATAGTGTTCATGTTGATTCTTTTTGGTTCTTAAGTTTTATAGGTGAGGTCCTGTGTTTTTTTTTGTCTTAATCCCACTTTGTTGCTGAAGAAGCTGAATCTTGCCCACTAAAAGATCTCATCAGAGCTGAAAGAAATTACACCTTGGTTTTGATGGACCCATACTTTACTGAGACCCCTCATCACCACTGACTGGAGCTGAGAAGAGAGGAAATCAATGAAGAAGAGATACCTTGGTACTCTTCAGGTGGACAATGAAAAACTAAATTGCTTTGTTAGCAATTAATTTTTCCACTGGGACAAGGAATTAACTTGGAAGAGTTTGGCAGGGGTTGAACTGTTAAATTCTATATATGATAGCAAATTGATTAATTTCATTTAATTATAAAAAATGTTATTAACTGAACTACATGGTATTATCTGGTGCCTATAGCATAATCTTTTTCTGTTGTTTAAATGATAGAAAAGAGCATAATTTGAGATACAGTGTACGTCAGGAATGTCTTTTTTGCCTTGCATGTAGTATGGCCTTGGGTAAAACCAATTGAGATAACATTCAGATCATTTTTGTATTCTGGGGGCAAAGTAATTGAGTGACCAAACTACTCATCTCCTTGGTCACAAGGGAGACAAATGAGCAGTGGCAAATACCAGCAAGGTGTCCTCATGAAAGTGTGGATCAACTATTATCCTAGCTGCCCTGCAGCCCACCAGAAAGATCACTGAACTGTCATGAAAAAAGGTAGTGTTTGGGGAATGTTGACTATACATTCTAACTCTCCCGGCTGCCCCTATCTCAAGTACCTTTCCATCTAATAGTGAATAACAAAATGGATTCCAAAGACAGACATGGGGCAATGCTCTTTGTATGGCCAGTGCTTCTCTTAGGAGAATTAATTGGGTTAAAATAGAATGGAATCAGGGCTAGCACTTCAGAGTGCTCTTGGGTCCCTTTTCTTCCACTGGATGTGTTATGCAGGCTCTCTGTTTCTTCAAGGCAAGGAGGAGCCAGGATAGAGCCCAGGGGATGGGAGGTGAGAGGTGAGATCCACTTCTAGTCTGAACAAAAGGTTTCCCAAAGTTTCCTTGGAGATCCTGCCCACCTCAATGATGTTAATGAGGGGGTTTTCTGATCCTAATTAGCAATAAAGAGTTTGCACTTCTCATATGTATCCTGTGTAGTGTGTATGGTGTGGAGGTGGGATTGGGGGTGGGAGGCAGATTTGCTTAGAGGCGGCAGATTAAATCCTTTTCTCTATCTCAGTGAGATGAAGGGAATTTCAACCTCATTCCCTATTGGAGGACTCCTTCTCTTCTTTCCATTCATCCAAGAATTAGAGGTACCTTTGGTGCCTTCACTATCCAGGTCCACATGGTCCCTTGAAGGTGGGCATATCTGCTGTTCTAAAACTGGTGGGACATGCAGAAAGGGGGCTTAGGTAGGAGGATGCTTCTGCCTAGGCTAGAGTCCTAAAGCTTCCTTCCGTGTATGGAGAAGCTGTTTCCCTGAAGTCTTGTCTCCTCCAGGCCCCCTGATGTCCTATGAGCAAAAATTTTCCTCCTGCCTTTCTGCTCTCCAAGGTACTGTCCCCTCCTACACACTGTATCTTCAAAGTGCTCATGATTCTGGGAAGTAGCCATGCTGTAGGCTGTTCAGAACAAATATTCCATGAGGTTAAGGGGAATAGAGGCTGGTTACCTGCTTGACTTAGGGACAGGAATGGGAACAGAGAACAAAAGTGATCTTGCCTCACTAGAATTTCCATTTCTCTAAGAGCTAATGATTATGGGGGGAGAGCTTTGAAATTGGAAGGGGAGCATTGGAGTGGAAGGGATTCAATATGGACATCAAACCCAAAGTTAATGATTTATTGGGGTGCCTTGGTTACTTGGGAGGGGAGTATTAGAAAGGAAGGGATTCATCACAGACATCAAACCCAAAGCTATGTTGCCTGGGTTGGGGCAGACTTTGTGATATTCATGTTTGCCGATAGTTCCTTGAAATTTTTGGAATATAGGACACAGATGAGACTTGGGAATGTTCCAGCATAATCTATTTTCATGTACCAGCAGGTCATTCTAGATCTCACTATAATTGCTGCTTTTATGGCTTCAAAACAGACTCTGCTATTCATTGGCACATTTAGGTCTATATGAAAATAGATTCCCTCTATGCGTAGCTTTTATGTATTTTAATATGATTATACAGTCTTCCAGGGCTGACCTTTTTCAAAGCAACCTGAATTCATTGAGGCTGCCAAATCACTATTTTCTTTTAGGCTGGGTACACAAAAGAAAGGGCAGCAAGTTTCTATGACAAGAGTGTGGGCTTTGAAGCCGGAAAGACCTGAGTTCAGAAACTTGCTCCATTACTCACTAGCCATGTGACCTCAAAGACTTACTAAATTTCTCTGGGCTCCAACAAATTTTAGTTCCCATTCCCTACCATTGGAGCTCTGATCTTGATGCTAGGGTAATTAGTATAGGTTTTATTAGGGGCTAACGGTGAGAGCTACCATTGAGTGCTAACTGTGTGCCAGACTCTCTAAGCATATTATGCCTTTTGTTGACTGTAGTTATGATAAGTATCTATATTAATATTTCTTCAAAATGGGCACTATCATACCATTTTACAAATGTGTTAAGTCAATACCCAAATTTGGTGATTGGTGAAGCCTGGCTACAAAATGAAATTTGACTGGCTCCATATGTCTGTATTTGTAGGGCATAATGTAACATGTGGGGCATGTTGCATCAGAAAGGAGGAAACCTAACTTGCTATCCGCTTCCCTGTCCTGGGGCCACATGTGGCTAAGATAGCGCCTGGTGCGATCAGCCAGAAGGCATTGCGGTGAGGAAAAATCAGACCACCTCTGGGATAGGCTCAGAACCCTTCAGCCCTCACGGACAGCTCATGTCTCCTATTACTGCCTGTAGGATGGGTATACACGTGAACTCGCCCCACCCTACTGACCTTTACCCTGATTGGCTCCAGTGCCTTATATTAGCTGTGTGTGTTTTTTCAATAAACTGAGATCCGGCTTTGACTGGCCTCCCTGATTGTCCTTTGGCAGGGGAGGGCTGGGTTCCGGCCATCAGTGGGCCTTTCCTTTCTTGGTTGTCCTGGTTGGGGTGGGGTGTGCTCTCTCCCAATCTCTCCTGCAGGTCAGGAGGGAAGGGGGAGAACTAAAAACCCCGATATGTATTCTTCCCATTATATCATATCATACTATCTTAACCTTTTACCCATTCTGAGTAACATCTCCAAATTTTAGGATGTGAGACTATCTAGGCTGCTAGTGAGTAGGACCATTTATAATCTTAATCATGAGGACTCCCCAAGTTTCCTCATTGACTAATGTTTATTTTTTATATTTAATAAAAATATTCAGAAACACATTGAAATAAGTATAGGAAGTGTTGCTGCACTAGATATCTATAACCCAGAATACCTCATACAATTCTTTGAGTATAACACCCTATTTTGTTCACTGTTGGAAGCATTCTCTTCAGTGGACCTAGGAATTCCTCCAGTCAATTAAATTCTGACCTGTGTGGTCTAACTTCTCTGGGGTATAAAGCAATTGTTGATAAACATTTTGTCATCCCAAATGTCAATTTTAGAGGTAAGCAATGCCCTTAAGATCTTTTTTTTTTTTTATTACTTTGCAGATCAGGTAAACGGCAAGTATTCAGGAAGTGTTGTTATCAGTTGGGTAATGTACTCTGTGGAAGTAATTGTTATTGGCTTCAATGACCTTGTGTTCCGTTAGAAAAAAATAAGGTAAGTATTCAACAGACTGTAGTTTTCAGCCTTTTCCTCAATTGTTAACATCATCTATTGACCTGTAGATGTCATTTTTTGAAAGATTCTATATAGCAAAGGGCATCAATTAGTAAATGATTATTTTCTCATTTAAAATTAAGAATACCTCTATAAATGTCCCTCTCACAGTCAATATACTTCTAACAAGAAGCAGTCTTTTACCATTTGAGTATAGGATTTTTGTGATGATCCATTGAATTGTGTTATTACTATTATTGTTACATGCAGCTGAAACACAGGCAAATGGACCATTTTTTGTAGGCTCTTTTTAAGAGTGAAACTACCTCAGAATCTATTCAATACTACCATCTTTTTTGAGAGAGAGTTTTTTTAATATTTACTTTTTAGTTTTCGGTGGACACAGCATCCTTATTTTATTTTTATGTGGTGCCGAGGATCGGACCCAGCACCCCACGCATGCCAGACGATAGCGCTACCGCTTGAGCCACATCCCCAGCCCTAATACTACCATCTTAAAAGTCTACCTACTGCCTTGAGAGGCTGAGGCAGAAGGATTTTAAGTTCAAAACTAGCATGAGCAACTTAGGGAAGCCCTAAACAACTTAGCAAGAATCTGTCTCTAAATAAAAACTAAAAAAAAAGGGCTGGGGATGTGGCTGAGTGGTTAAACACCTCTGGGGTAATCCCTGGGACCAAAAAAAATTTATAAAGTTTGGGAACACAAGTTATGAGAAACCTCTGTAAATGCATACTAAATCCTAGTATTTGCTAAAGGATTTTAGAAGTATCCAAAGTCAGTATGTACCATTTTGGGTTGTAAAGCTTCCATGGTAGCTAGATGGTTTCAAATTGTGCCCCCAGTGAACTACAAAATTGCTAAGAAAGTTGGCTTTGCTTTATTTCAAAGTAATGTGCAGTATTACAACTTCACTTGAGACATTGTCCAGGTCTTTGATTTTTATGTCTGTATCTACTATTTTAGGTTTTATTCTTCATTCTGCACTACATTACTAAAATTATTGCACACAAGGCAGAAACCTATGATTACTTTTGTGGTAAGCAGCATTAAACCATATCCTAGTGTTTATTAAATGATGACAAAGCACTCTCTCAGGGTTTTGTCTATAAGTAAAAGTTTTAGGGGATTTAATATCATTTATTTTTTGCTTGATATATATTTATTTTGATCATTTTGATGAACAACATTGGCTCCAGAAAAGGAGTGAGAAAATATTGAAAATTTCATACTATTATTACTAAAATTCCCAAAATTGCATAGTTTTGAAATTTTAGAATACAGTTGACCTGCTTTGTAAAAGACTCATACTAGTGAATTCCCAATTGATCAAAGATTTCATTTTTTCATGAAATCCTTATAACTGAGAAGGAAAAGAAAAACACTGCCAATGTTGCCTTATGTAACTACACAATGCATTTAAAAATCCATCATTAGCTGTTTTGTTTACCAGATGATAATAGTTAATTTGTATTTCCAAACCTGTTTAGGGGATGTTTACAGTCCATTTCATTTTATTCCTTTTCCAAATTTTGGTGTTTGTGATGTATAGACCAAAGTAATAATTCATGTTTTAAAACATCAAAAGTTTTTTTTTTATAAATGTTTAGACAAAAATACATTGACAAAATAACAGTCTTTTGGACTTTGGACTTAATCTTATAGATTAAGTACCAGTGGTGGAACTTTATTTTTGAGCTTCCCCCCAAAAAAATGTACCTGATAAAACATGGAGTATAATTCAACTTTCAGAACAGATTTTTAGATGGCAAGTTGGAGCCTCATTTATAAAGAAGTGATATTTGCTTGTGATGATGTCATACTCTGAGGGCCCCCACCCAGGGTCAAGGGAGGCAGAAAGATGATTCAGTTACAGTCCAAAGGTACCTGGATTGATAAGGCCAAAAGAGCTACAGGATGATTTATTTCTCTGTCAAGTGCTGAGGTTTGGAATGTGAAGAATTGTTTCTACCAAAGTGAGGCAGACCACAGGGTAACTGTTGTTAAATGATAAATGTCAAAATAGTCAATGTCAGAAATGATGTAAAGGAGGCAAATTAGAAGCTTCTCTACTTGCAGAAAGTTCTCACTATAAGGGAAAGAGGAAGGGGAAAGGGAGGGTGCTAACTAGATTCCAGATACTATGCTAAGATCTAGGCTAAGATCTTCCAGAGGTTTACAAACTGTAGAAAGAACAGTATAAAGTATCTGTTAGGTTCAAGGGACATTGCATACTCACTTTCATTTATCCTCAAGGGAAAGGTAAGAAAAAACGGCCCAGGAATTGCCTTCATTTGGTCTAGAAAGGAACAAAAAGAACAGTGGGTCAATAAGACATTTGTATATCCACTTTGTCCCAGAATATAAGATGCCTAGATCACTTAATTTTTTTTTTTTAAGAAATGGAGTCTTGGTTTGTTTCCCAGGCTGACACCAAACTCCTGGGCTCAAGCAAACCTCCTGAGTAGGTGGGACTACAGGTGCATGCTGCTGTACCTGTCTAGATCACTTTAAAAACAAACCCAAAATTATTCAGTGTTCTGTGACCTTGAATAGATAAACTGATGATCTAGATTCTAGGCTTATAAGCCTGGAAAACAGACCTTGACACTCAAGAACTTTCCACGACATAGTAACAAATGAGATCCAGACCAAAACAGTGTGTCTGATCTAATAACCCATATCAGATGTGTTGTGTTACTGTTACCCCCAAGAATAAAACCTCAGAAGCAGGCAGTTTCAGCTAGCATTAAGGGGCTTTCTTTTAGGATAAGTAAAAGGGTTTTGCATAGAACACAGAAGTATAAACAACTTGCCATCTTGAAGAAATCATGCAGGTTCAGAATGTCAGTTGAGCTAGATGTCCCACTATAGAGCCCTATCCTTTCCTCTGTCAACGTCTCTTAAGTGAATTGTAATAGTCTGTTTGCTTGTCTTCTTTACTAGCCTGTAACATACTTGAGTGCAGGTCATATGCTTTTATTCTCTCTATCCTAAGTACCTACTGTATTATCTGGTATGTAGTAGGTTCTCATAAATGGTTTAAAGAATAAATATTAAAGCAGGCTTAATAAATGCAACAATCCTATCTTTGGCTTCTCACTTTCAAAAGGGCTTTTAGAGAAAAACAGCCTCCTATAGCCAGATATTATCTAAAGGAGGTGCTTTTTTTTTTTTTTAAAAAAGAGACATTTAAAATTTTTTTCTTTTCACATTTTTTTTTTGTAGAGGAAGTGAATTTTAGTAAGTGCTGAGAGAATGTGTAAACTTATCACAGGTGACAATATCATAACATTGTCACTGGAGAATTCACACCTATAGATAAGCTAGTGGAAGAAGAAAGTTAGCTTAGAAAGGTTAGGGAAAAAAATTTTGAAATGTCAGATCCACTCTATAAAACTGACCACCCTTGGCATGGTTCTTTTAATCTACCTGGACTTGAGAACAGCCTAGGGCTTTTGAAATGAAGACAATTAGCACCTCAGACAGGGCATCCACATGCAAAATTCTATCACCTCTCGGAGACCTTAGGAGGTGACAAGTTTAGATAAGAAGACACTTTCAACCTTGGATGATGGTTTTTCTAACTTTTAAGGCTTTTATATTTGATTTAAATGGCATCTATATTCTAAAAGATTGTAGTTTTCTTTAAACTGTGTATCTTTATTCTTCCACCCTATGATTTTCACTTCATAGGTTATTTGAAAACAAGAACAAAATCTTTCCCTTATTGAGCAAGGCTTGAGGAAACAGATGTTTTTTGCACACAAATGAGAAACAGTTCATTTCCCCTCTGTTTCTCTCTAAAAAAGCACCTTCAGCTTTCATTTAGAGCACAGGCTGGAAATGACATTTGGGGTCATCTGGTCCAACTTCATCTGACAGACAGACAAAATGAGGGGGAGAGAGAGAGAGAGAGAGAGAGAGAGAGAGAGAGAGAGAGAGATATTGAGATTTAGTGGTAAAACATGGAGTATAATTCAACTTTCATAATTGTTAGACTAGGGTCCTTCTATTTCATCTTGATGTTTTAAAGGTGGGCCCAAGGTATGTAGATTGAATTGTGTGTGTGTGTGTGTGTGTGTGTGTAAAAGACTATTTCAGTGATTTTTATTGTCTTGAGTGTTAATTTTATTCACTCACTCAGAAAATATACTTAGCATCTACTATGTGCCAGACACTGGGATACAATATTGAACAAAGCACACAAAATCCTGCCGTAATAGACCTTAAAGTTAAGTTGAGGAGACAGATAAATAATTAGATTATTCTGCTCCTAAGTGATTTATATTTGTTCTTGGGGCTCTTTCCCTAACCAATTGTCTAAGAGTACCTCTATTATGGCCTTTGTTCTCTTGTCTCATTTCCCTCCCTTTCCTCTCTCATGGGTATGAAGAGAGTAGAGGAAGACAGCCATTTCAATTCCAATTTTCTCATACTTCAAGCTCAGCATGAAGGTTTGAATTTGCTAAAGTCAGGTTTAGTACCAGTGTAGCTCTCGAGTGAAGATGTCAGTATTTTTCATCAACACTGTACTAGTGGGCTGGCTCAGCTGTCAGCTTGCTTGTGAGATGACAATGAGGTACTGGATGTGAGAGTTGTACTATTACCTTATAATTTATCTGTTCCTTTTTTTATACAATTTTAGTTGTGCTGAACCCCGCTGTACCTGGCTGCTTTGACAGGTGTGCTATTTTAGCAACACGGAACAAAACACAGAAAGAAAAGAAGAATGTATGGTATGCTTGTGCTGTCAGATCCAGGTTGCTGTGTTCCTAAGTTTGTAGACGATTTGTTCAGAGTTGTTCAGAGATGAAAAAAAAAAAAAGAAGAAGGAGAAAAGAAAAACAACAACCAACACCAAAACCGGTTAGGTTTAGTTTTTAACCTATGTGACACTAAATATTTTCACAGTTCATCTGACAGGGTGTTATCCATAATGACCAATATAAGAGGATCCTCTTCCTTGTCTTTTTTTCATATCTGAAATATCATCATTGTAATTAATTTGCTTGCTCAAAATGCAGAGCCCTTGGTGGACTCATTTCTCAAGTCCTTAACATTGGAGTATGTATGCATTTACATATCACTCCGATTTCTTCCTTGACCCAAGCTGTGAAAAGATGTAGCAGGGAGTTGGTTAAAAAACACATGAGTTTGGAAGATGATAAGATCATCAGTTTCCTAGAGGCATCCCCAAATGTCACCTTGAATGCTGTTTTTAAACAAAATTTTTGTAGTGTTGAAAATGACTGTAGGAGGCTTTTGTTGATGGGTTAGCTACTAAGGCTGGTCTCTCTTCAATCAAGGAGTTACTACTGGCTACTGCCAAAATTTAGAGGGTTGTTATTAACTCTAGTAGGTAGGGCATAAATATCTGCCTTTGGTGCAAACTTTGTGCCTTGCACCAAAGGCAGATGTTGAGATTCATTGAGGATTTAATATCATTTTCTCTACTGTGATCCCAGCTTTGCCTTACTCTTAAGGAACTAGCCTCTGAAGCAGTAGAAGCAATACAACAGACAACATAGCTTTAGCTCTTCAAACTCCAATTTAAAAAATCTTTTACATAATCTAAAGATACACATATAAGGTTGTTCAGCTTTCAGCATTAAATAAAGTCTTATTCTGGTGATAAGTGGAGGACGTTTTTGGGAGATGTTACTTAGCATATTTTGAAATAGAAGCCACACTATATAAGAGAAGGAAATGAGGTTGGAAGGTTTTTTTAAAAATTAATGACAGTTTAGGTTTAATTGTAGAAGAAACATTCTCCAGAAATGACAGAGAATAAAAGTTACAACACAGTCATCAACACTTGCAAAATGATACATAACAAATTATGTGGCTAAAATGCTGAAATCTGAGCCCTGTACACCAAAGTGTACATACGTATCCACGTAAAGACAAAGAACCAGTTAAATGATTCATTCTTTCATCTAAGACCTATTACATAGATAAATTTGAAACATATTTGACATGCTTTCCCCCCCCCCGCCCCCCACTGTCTTGCTGAGTTGCTGAGGCTGGCTTTGAACCTGTGATCTTCCTGCCTCAGCCTGTTGAGTTGCTGAGATTACAGGCACGCACCACTGTGCCTGACTCTGCACATGCATTTTGATTTTTGTACCTCAGCCAGTATTTTGGGATCTTAGACAAGGTGTCAGGAAAAATCAGTATGTGTTCAGGACCAAGATTGTTTAAGGGACCAGGAGTATAGCTCAGTGCTTAGCATGTGTGAGGCTCTTCGTCTTATCCCCAGAACAATAAAAAAATAAATAACCTGTTCATGAGGTAGAAGGAGGAGGGGGAAGATTCCTCAAAGTCTGCTGTTCATCTATGACTTTTAACCTTGCAGAAAGAGGCCCCATGGCCATGTACAGTAGTAATTGTATACTTATAGTTTTGGTTTTAGAGCTTTGGGGCCTTTCATTTTGTCATTCTGTTTCTGTCACACACAATGACATGAATAACCTGCCTCTATCATCAACCCCTTTGGGGACAAATCATCCCCAGTGGCCCTGGAGGAAAATGCAAGCATAGAAGTGTTACCAAGCACTCCTTTCTGTGTACAAAGGCTACATGGGGAGCAGTACAGTCCAATTCTTGCAAGTTCCTTTTTCCAATGTTCCCCTCCTCTCCACATGAACCCTGTGTTGGAGAGCAGCACATCAAAGTTTGTGGCAAGTTTGAAGGAACTTAGCTGCTAAGTTGCTGAGCTGGTTTTAATTGAAGTGTGAAAAGGAGGTTTTAAGGCAGATACACAACATCCTGTTGTTTGGGTGCTTGTCTCTTTTTTGCACATCTGGCTGAACTGGGAGTCAGGTGGCTGATTTGTGCCTGGCTGTAGCAGCAGCGACAGAGTCCCTTTTACAGTCCTCTGCCTAGACCCACCCAGAATCTACCAGGCCATGGATGCAGTGACTGTGTATCATGGGAAAATAAGCAGGGAGACTGGAGAGAAGCTCCTGCTTGCCACGGGGCTGGATGGCAGCTATTTGCTGAGGGACAGCGAGAGTGTCCCAGGCGTGTACTGCTTGTGTGTGCTGTAAGTATGTCACGATGGCGGCCTGAGCCTGCCAAGGGCACAGGTAGCAGTGGGCTAAAGCCAAGCTCATAGAGGTCTTTTCCAAGGCCCATCTCATGGCCTCAGGAATGCCTCAGGTTTGGCCCAGGGAAATGATCGGTGTGCTTTGGCCTAGGTTCCTCTCTGTGGATTTTGTTACCCGAGCTTCCTGCTCTCCAGACGGGCTTCACCAGGGCTTTTTGTGGTGGGTGTATTACACACCCTTTATAGTTGGAAAACATGGTCCAAAATTTACCTTCACTATGAGAAAGAACTGGGCTTTCAACTTGTGTTTTGACTTCCAGTAGAAGTCAGAAAGGTAAAGCCCTGGGATGTTACACTGTTTGGATTTGTGGCCACCAGCTTCTGAGAGAAGTAAAGGCTTCTCTCCAGCTTTTCAGCTTTCTATAAATGGGTTTGAAAGTGTTATCTCAAAGGAAGAGCATCAAATTCAGGGAGAAGAGGCAGACTAAGAAATGGAGTCCATTATTTTAAGAATGCAATATCAGTTAAATCAGAATGCTGAGGGGCAGTGTGTGTGTGTGTGTGTGTGTGTGTGTGTGTGTGTGTGTGTGTGTGTAAACTGCCTCTCCAGATCTTCTTATTTTGCTTCCTTTAGAGGAGCTATGGGAGGGGGGCAGGAGCTTTCAGAAACAGGACCCTTCTTGATAAAAGCTAGGACTGACGATAGTTTTGTAAAGAGTGCGGAGGGGAAAACACCTTTGTTATGATTCAGCTTTGTTCTTTGTCTAGGCATGTCTCAGTCTAAGGCCCATTTTGAACCAGATGCACCTACCTCTTTGCTCCAGTGCTCCTGAAGTGGGCAGATCTTAGACCTAATCTTGCACTAGTTAGATGCTAGGCTTGTGACTTCAGCAAATTAATTTCTTAGCCCCTCAGTTTTCTCATCTATTAAGTAGGTACCATATTATAACCTATATCATAGGATTGTAAAGATTAAGTGCCATAATGCACATAAGAATGAGCATAGGACTTGAGACATAATAAATGTTTGGTGAATATAAGCTCTTGATATTATTATTATTATATCCTTCTCTCTTTAGTTGATTTTACTTTGTTATCATGGGTGTATTTCAATGGAAGGACCTAGGACAAGCATTGCTGTCAGTAGGATAAGAATACATATGAAAACACCAGTCTTGCACCAAGGATTTAGACAGAAATAAAACGAAGAAAAATGTTTGGTAGTGAGTTCAGTATCTGATGATACACAGCAAAATTTTTGAGATACTTTCTACAGTGAAGAAACTTTCTATATAGAGGATTTTCCTTGTATGTTGGTTTTGAAAAATAGTCAGGCCTTGTTTGTGGTAGTTCTTAGGTCATGCTTAAGTATATTTGCATAAAGTCTTCAAGGTGTACATGTAGATGGGCTTGGATCTTTATGTTTGCTTATATGATTGTTTTCCTTAAGGAGAACCCAAGGAAGGGTGATGAAGGCCAACTATAATTCTTATGTTTTTTTTTTTTTTATCAAAAGAAGATGAAGGAAGCCAGGAATGGTGGCAAATGCCTGTAATTACAGCAACTCAGAAGGCTGAGGCAGGTGAATTGCAAGTTTGAGGCCAGCCTCAGAAACTTAGTGAGGCCCTGTCTCAAAATTAAAAATAAGAAGAGCTCGGGATATTACACTGTGGTTAAGGGGCCTGGGGTTCAATACCTGGTGCTAAAAAAAAAAAAAAAAAAAAGAAGGAGTGAATGGCTGGCAAAATAGGCTGTTTTAGAGAAGCTGACAAAAGAGGTAATGTGTTCCTTAACCCCTTAACCTAGAGGAAAAGTGAAGGTTCAGAAGAAGCCTGAGCAAGTATGAGCAGGCAAAGGCAGTGTGTGACAAGATAAACCTAAGGCTTCAGCCTCACCGGTCATCAGGCCATTTCTTAAACTCATTAGGCATGGTTCTCACTTAGGGTTTTTGTGCTTATTGTTCCTTCTGCCAAATATACATTTAGTTTAACTGGCTCTTCCCTCTGAGAGAGAGTACTTTCATGACCACTCTATCTAGAATAAATGCCCTCATCTTGTCACTGTCACACTCTTATTTTTTTCTCCAAGGGGCTTCAAATTGTCTGACATTCACTTGTTTACTTATTTATTGTAGGCCTCCCCTGCAAAAATGTAATCTTCATAAGAGCAGAAACATCATCTCTGGTACCAGAAGCACATTACTAGTTCCTAATAGGAGCTCAGCAAATGTTTTTGAATTAAATGAATGAACTGTTAAGGCAAGTTCTAGTCTTTGGGGAAAGAGCTTTGGACTGATATTAGGAGGCTAGGGTGTGGGCCCTGAGGAAGTTACTCAACTTTTCTGGGCCTTAGTTTCCATATTTATAAAACAGGAATAGTAATTTATGTCTTAACTTCTGCAAAGGATTGCCATAAGTGACATATCCAAGAGGAGGCCTTTAGTTTTTTGACCATGTAGGACAGAACCACATAGGAATTAACTTAGGCTGGGAGAAAATTCTCAGACATTCAAGTTTCTACCTAAAGAGAACTCAAGTTCTCCATGAAATCCTCCTTATGAAGGAGCAGAAAATAATAGGGAAGTTGGGAGTTCCTTTACTGTGCTTCAGAATGGTAGGCATACAGGGGCATCAAAGTCTAATAGGGCCCAGCAGCTCAGGAGGCTGAAACAGGAGGATTTTGAGTTCAAAGCCAGCCTCAGCAACTTAGGAAGTCCCTAAGCAACTCAGTGAGACCCTGTCTCTAAATAAAATACAAAAAAGGGCTGGGGATATGGTTCAATGTTTAAGTGCCCCTGAGTTCAATCCCTGGTACCAAAAAAAAAAAAAAAAAAGTCTAATGGGGCTTTATTGCAAAAGCCAGACTGCTAGAGAAGGAAGACACAGTGATACAATGCCTTTATCACAGTTTCTCAACTTATTTGAGCTAGCTGTCCCTTTAAATAAACATAAATATTTCCTTCCCCTTTTTTGCGTATGGCACTGTCATTACAAAGTCAAATTTTATTTTTGGAATAAACTGAACTCATTTAAAATCAAAACACTTATGCCTGTGATATACAGTAGAAGTAACAATGTAAATGGTGTCATATGTATATGCATGAACAACAAGGTATAGCTCATAAACATGTATTGATTGCAGAGCTTACCCAGAATGTTTTCTCATTCTCTGCTATTTATTCCCATCTAATCTAGAAAGTTTGGTTGAACTTTACTTTCTGTATTTTTATTGATGAGATACAAATTTCAAGTGTCTTTCAAATTGTCATTTACACTGTACTTTCAAACTATTCTTGCCCCTTTGTCCAGTTCTGAACCCTCCAATCCTGGCTCTCATATGTGGAATTTTTTTTTTCTCTTCAGTTTTAGAAAATAGAGTCTCTTAAAACACTAAAGAAGTTTTCTATTTATAGGATTGCTCACCTTCATTTTAAGTGAGAAGTTTTCCAAGTATTTTCTCTAAATAAATCTTGATTTTTGCATAAGTCTGTTAAAATACTTATTGATGATGGAAAATTTGAAAAACATAGATTAATGGAACTGAGGGAAAATCATCTAACGTTTATAACCTAATGACAACTGTCATTGAAAATTGAGTTTTCTGATTTATTTTAATAAGGTGAATTGCAATTCTGAGCATGGATATGCTTTTATGATATTGTATTCTGCAGCATTTCCCACTTAAAATGAAAAAATTCCGCTCATATTTTAAGGCATTATTTTTAATGGCTCCACGATAGTCCAGCTAGCTACTGAACATATTGTGTTTTTCTTAACCAGGAACCTATTTTTGGAGATTTGAATTATTCTCTTTTTAAATTATAAAATTTATCATGATTAATATTTGAGAGCATAAGTTTTCCTTGTTTTATGATTATTTCCTTGTGTGATTTTCAGATATGGAATTTTGAAGTCAGAAAACATGAACAGTTTGGGATTCTTTACATACATATTTTTCCTAAGTGTTTTATTCCAGTTTATATACTCACTAGTAATAAATGAGAGTGTCTATTTTACTGCACCCTTCCTAAAAATGGGTACCCTTGTTAAAAAATAATTCCCCTTGAAATTTGGTGTCTCATTCTTTATTTTATATTTACACTCTGTTTTTCACTTTTTAGATTTCTTTGATTAGCAATTGAGTGTCTTTTTATATGATGGTTAAGCAGCTGTATTTCTTCGTTTGTGAATTGGCAGTTTGTGTACTTTTCTTTAACTTACTGTATTTAGGTTCTAGCACAACTTTTCAAACTAAATTATTAAGAAAGTTGCCACTTAGAATGCAAGATGCTTATTTTGGGAATCCTATTGAACACCTGGGTACTTATTTGACCAAAAATATAATAAAATTGACTGCTGTTATTCTTAATACAGTATAAATATAAGTATCTATACGTATACATATGTATATATACTATACAATCTATATCTATATATGTATCTATACCTATATCTATGTCTATATACACTTATCCATACATACACATCCTTAATCTATTACAGATATCCTTTGTCAGTTTGGTGTTTGCCATTACTTTTTTAAAAAATATTTTCTTAGTTGTCAACAGGAATTTGTTTTATTTATATGTGTGCTGACAATCAAACCCAGTCTAGGCAAGCACTCTGCCACTGAGCCACAACCCCAGCCTTGCCATCACTTTTTTGATGCATGAAAATTAACATTTATAGTAACAAAATCTATTACTAATTTTCTTTGTTTTTGATTTCTTCCTTTGTTTCATAGCTTAGAAAGTCCTTTCTCAGCTCAGGAGGCTGAAGCTGGAGGATTGCAAGTTCAAACCCAGCCTCAGCAACTTAGTGAGTCCCTAAAAAGGGCCGGGGATGTTGCTCAGCGGTTAAGCACCCTTGGGTTCAATCACTGGTACCCCCACCCCCCAAAAAAAGTCCTTTCTCCTCCAGAGATGTTGTAAAACTTTTTAGTGTTTGTTTTTCTTTAATTTTTTCCCTTTGGTACAGGGGATTGAACCTGGGGATGCT